CCTTTGGAGGTTTTCTCCAAATTTGCCCTAAACCAGGACACAAGTCCTTTCCAACCCAACCCATTCTCATTCCATCATTCCAGGATGAGCCATCCTCACCCCTCCCTGGGCTGCTGGCACAAGGGTCCTTGAGAGCAGAGGGACCTCGACACGCTCAGGGGTTTGGCCAATGTAAACATCCTGATGAGTTTCCCAATCCCCTCAACTTTAGGTTGAGACTTCAGGAATGTAGTCATAATGAAGAGGTTCCAACCTGAAGAGACAAATTCAACCATTTTGGAGATCCATTTCTGCATTCATGCCTCACCAGCCTGTCTTCAGGTAGATTCTGCAGAGTCTAGAGCCATGTCATGGCCAGGCACAGCTCCCAGGCTGCCATGCCCACAGGAGCCATCAGCCCCAGAGCCCACCCAGGATGGGTGGGACCCCCTCAGCAGGACCCTCAATTCCTGGAACAGCTCCTTGTGCTTCCTCTGCCCTCCCCAGCAGCTCTCAAAACCCTGGGAGCTCTGCTTTTGGCTTCATCCATACACCCTGGGGCAAGCTTTGCTAAATCCCCGCTTTGCAGCTTGCCGTGTTTCAGTCTCTTGTTTGGTGCCTCAGGAGAAGGATGATTATTTCATGGGGATTTTCAGGTTCCAGCCACAGCTGCTGAGTTTCTGACACATCTCATCTACCCCTCTGGGTTTTACTCATCCCTGCCTTCCCAGCTCGCCCTTCCACGGTTCCTGCTGCAGCTCCTCTCATTCTCTGGAGGGGCACCAGGATGGGCTGTGCTGGGCTTTGTAAAGGAAACAATCCTCATCCCTGCCTGCCAGCTGGGTCTGGTTCTGGGGCACTGGCTCTGTGCTTCTGGATGTCACTGGGTCAGGTTCTGCCTGGCACTGCGTCAGGTTTGGGCTGTCACTAGGCCTCTGGTTCTGGCTGGCACTGAGTCTGGCTGGCACTGGTCTGTGGTTCTGGCTGGCACTGGGTCTCTGGTTCTGGATGTCACTGGGTCAGTGGTTCTGGCTGTCACTGGTCTCTGGTTCTGGGGCACTGGGTCTGTGGTTCTGGCTGTCACTGGTCCGTGGTTCTGGGGCACTGGGCCCGTGGTTCTGGGGCACTGGGTCCGTGGTTCTGGGGCACTGGGTCCGTGGTTCTGGGGCACTGGGCCCGTGGTTCTGGCTGGCACTGGGCCCGTGGCTCTGGGGCACTGGGTCAGTGGTTCTGGCTGGCACTGGTCTCTGGTTCTGGCTGGCACTGGGTCTCTGGTTCTGGGGCACTGGGCCCGTGGTTCTGGGGCACTGGGCCCGTGGTTCTGGCTGGCACTGGGTCCGTGGTTCTGGCTGGCACTGGGCCCGTGGTTCTGGGGCACTGGGCCCGTGGCTCTGGGGCACTGGGTCAGTGGCTCTGGGGCACTGGGTCAGTGGCTCTGGGGCACTGGGTCAGTGGCTCTGGGGCACTGGGCCCGTGGTTCTGTGGCACTGGGCCCGTGGCTCTGGGGCACTGGGCCCGTGGTTCTGGGGCACTGGGCCCGTGGCTCTGGGGCACTGGGCCCGTGGTTCTGTTCGGTGTTGCTGTTTGTAAAGAGCTGTCATTGCTTTTCCCGTGGCTGTGTGGAAGCCCCCGGGTCCAGGGCTGGGACAATGCCGAGGGAAGGGCTCACAGCCTCTGTTCCAGAGGAGTCTCCCCCCTCCCCTGGCCGACACAAGTGCCACATCCAGACTGGTTTTGGGATGTCCAGGGGCAGTGACTCCACCCTGTCCTTGGGCAGACGATTCCAATGCCCAATCACTCTTTCAGGGAAGAATTTTCTCCTCATGTCCAACCTAAACTTTCCCTGGCACGGCTTAAGGCCGTGTTCTGTCATTCTGTCAGTGGTTCCCTGGGAGAAGAGCCTGACCCCAGCCTGGAGCTGTGCAGGGTGATGAGGCCTCCCTGAGCCTCCTCTTCTCCAGGATGAACAACCCCAGCTCCCTCAGTCCTTCCTTGTGGTCCAGACCCCTCACCAGCCTCGTTGCCTCCTCTGGACGTGTTTGAGCATCTCAAAGTCCTCCTTAAACGGAGGGGCCCAGAACTGGACACAGCACTCGAGGCGTGGCCTCACCCGTGCTGCACACAGGGGAAATGGTGCCTTGCTTCCAGAAGGTTCTGTCAGGCCACAGAGGACCCTTGGGGCCGTGTTGGCCCAGAGCCCCACGCTGCTCTCCTGGGGTCCCTCAGGCCCCTCTGTGTCACACTGGGCCCTGGCTTCCATGAGCTTCCATAACCCCACTGTGCTCTCCTGGGTTCCTCTGTGCCACCAGGGACGCACTGGTGATGACACCTGTGGTTCCATCAGGTTCCATTGTGTCACAAAGCCCTCCTGGGTTCCGTGAGGCCCAGCTGTGTCACACCTGGCTGGAGCCTGGGTTCCACGAGCTCCTGGTGGCATCTGGGTTCAATGAGGCCCAGCTGTCTCACGGTGACACCTGGTCAAGAGAGGTTCCATAACCTCACTCTGCTCTCCTGGCTTCCCTGAGGCCCCTCTGTGTCACAGCAGCCCCCAAATTCCAGGAGCCTCCGCAGTGTCCCTTGGTTCCATGAGTGTGTGACTCGGAGCTGGGGACAGGGCAGGGACAGCGTGCAGACAGTGCCACCAGCCCTTCTGCCACACGCCTGTGCCTGTCCCTGCCACGCTCTGGGCGTGGAACCCGCCAGGAGTGCCCAGGGGTGCGGTGACAGCGGGGACAGA